TGGTGGTGGTGATGGTGGTTTTGGTGGTGGTGGTGGTGGTGATGTGGCATGGAGTCGGTTCTGTTCATATTCTCCTGCCTGAGATCCTTACTTCAGACCCACCAATTAAATGCTGGTATTTTCGATCAGGAGATAGTCCTTCCGAACCTCAACAACTAAGACTTCTGCTCCTCTACTACTGCGTGACGTTGGGAAGGGTACTTAACCTCTGCACCTGTTTCCTTGATAAACTTCATCAGTAGCTTTAGCTGTTAAAATGTGTTAATAATAATACTGTCTCCCATGCCTACCTTGCTTGGTTGTTGGTAGGCTAAAAGTGCCTTTTACATCAAAATGGACAAAATAAATATGAGGGAGGTTGTGGGGTGGGGTTTGGTGTTGTTTTGTTTTTATTTTAATGAAACCTGTGTAGGGGGGGTTGTTGTCACTGGCTGCCACTCCTCTCCACCACCCTGCCCCTGCTCCTTATACTGTGTCCCATGTAGGTCCCGGTGACTTTTACATTCCCTGGCCTGGATCAGATTCAGGGACACCCACCACACACCCAGGGACCTCCAGGCAAAGCTGGCGAGAGTCCCTTGGGACAGCTCCTGGCTGTATTGCCCATTGTTTTGGTTGGGTGGAATCGGTGTTGGTCCCAGCTGCTCCTCCCCAACATCCCATTCTCCTTTCTCCTCCAGGTACAATGGTCCCAACCTCGTTCTGAAGTATGACCGGGCCCAGAAACGGCTGGTGAACATCGCTGTAGATGAGCGCAGCTCACCCTACTACGCACTGCGGGACCGTCAGGGAAACGCCATCGGGGTCACGGCCTGTGACATTGATGGGGATGGCCGAGAGGAGATCTACTTCCTCAACACCAATAATGCCTTCTCAGGTAAGGATTGGGCCTCAGGCCCACCTCCCCCTCCTCACTCCTTCCTCTCTCCCCACATCTGAGGCAGGGCCTTGGGGGGGCTGGCCCTTGCTGGCAACACTGCCTCCAGGACTGCCTGGTGCCCCAGTAGATGAGTTCATTCTCCTCTCCTGCATGACGCTTGTAGCTCTCACACCAGTCACTTAGCCTGAAGGTGGAGGACACGGACAGACCTTGTGCCCTGTGCACCTCTGGGTTTCCACCCAACCTCTTCCCTCCTCTCCAGCCCCATGCTCCTGCCCTGGCTCAAGCACTCACCACTTCCCACCTGGGTCACTGACAGAGTCAGCAGACAAACCCCTGGAACCACCTTTCATGGTGGGTCTGGGGGGGTGTCCTTTCTAAAATGCATTGAAATCCTCCAGTGTCCCACACACACACACACACACACACTTACAGGATTTCAGACTCCTGAGCTGAGCTTCACAAAGTTGCTGAGTACCTGTTCTATACCAGACCCTGGGCAAGGTGCTGGGGAAGCATCTTTGAAGAAGACAGACCTTTAGTTCATGGAATCTTTACTTCTCCAACTGACAGATGACTAGAAGTCACCTGGGGGGTCTTGTGGAAATGCCGATTCTGACTCAGTAGGTCTGGGTGGGGCTCCTTAGCTATGATGCTGGTGCTGCTGACCCATGGACCACGGCCCTAACTACTAAAGAAGAAGTGGCAGAAGGAGTGCTCGAGGGCTACGTTATAGCAACAGCAATCATAACAGCTAATACTTAAGCAGCACCTACTATGTGCCAGACCTGAGCTAAGCACTTCACATCCATTGTCTGCTGTAAGCCTGGCAGCAGCACTCTTAGGTTTGCACTGCTGTGCCCTCCTTATAGTTAGGGAAACTGAGGCACAAAGAGGTTAAGTAGCTTGCCCAAGGCCACACAATTCGTACGTCCAGGATCCAAACCCAGGAATCTGACTCCAGATCCTTCATTTTAATCAAGACACTTTCCCGCCTTTTCGATTTGGGGCTGTGTTCTTGGAGGAGTGTCCCTGCCCTGACTTCTCCATCCTTTAGGCCTGACCTCAGCCCACTAGAATGCAGTCTGCTTCCAGTGGGCTATAACATCCACCTGGAGATGCAGGGTCTCATGTCCCTGTGGGGCCAGGTTGGATGTGCTCTGGACTCTCCTTTGGGTTGGCCCTGGATGAGACCCTGAGGTTCAGACCTATGCATTCATTGTCTTGGGGACCACCCTCGCTGCCTCACCTCCGCTCCCACACTGGCTCTCCCCTGGACCCATACTGTTGCTAACCCAGAACCCAGCCCTGGACTGCCCCTACCAGTAGCATGGATGGTAGGGGAAGAGGTTGGGGCCTGAGCCAGAGGCTGGACTGGGCAGTATTGGCTGGCTGATTGCCAGCCTTGTGCAGCCAAGAAACAATGAGCCACAGCCCTGAGTGATGTTTTATGGGTTTTCATCTCATCTTGCCACCAAGTGAGGCCTGAGAGATAGTAATTATCCCTATACAAATATCAGGGCATGATTACCCAGCTGGATTTACTGCCCTCTCTCCAACCAAGCCAAGATTGGACGAGGACACAATTAATTGATGGGCTGATCAACTCTTAATGTGAGGCAAGGTCAGGAAGAGAGCAGCTTTGAGGGACGCCTGTGAGCCCAAGGAAGATGATGGAGGGCAGACAAGCCGAAATGGGGAGAACCAAGGAAGGGGGGTGTTCAAGATGGGCTCAGCAGGCAAGATGCCAGAGGAGGGGAACAGACTGCGCACACACACACACACACACACACACACACACAATTAGCTAGCACAGAGCACCTGGAATGGAGCCACTCAAGTTTCTCTAGAGCAGCATCCCTGCCCGTACTCTTAGAGTGGCCCAATGTGAATCCCATCCCAGAATGCACATCCAAACCACCTGGGGAGCTTTGAGCACTCCCAGTTCCCAGCGTAATCTAATCAGAACCTCTGGGGCAGGGCCCCATCACCAGATTTGAAAGCTCCCCAGGGGATTCCCATGTACATTCAAGAGTGAGGGTCACTGACCAAGAGTCAGAGTAGGTGAGGTCAACTGTCAACCCAACATTGTTGCTGTTAGGTGCCATCGAGTTGGTTCTGACTCATAGAGACCCCATGTGCAACTGAACAAAACCCTGCCCAATCCCGCACCATTCTCCACTGTTGCAGCAACTGCATCAACCCATCTTGTTGCAGGTCTTCCTCTATTTTGCTAACCTACTTTACAAAGCATGGTGTCCTTTACCTGGGACTGGTCTCTCCTGGTAACAGGTCTAGCCTTACTTCCAAGGAGCATTTTGGCTGTACTTCTTCTAAGACAGCTTTGTTATTCTAGCTATGTTCTTCACTAGCACCATAATTCAAAGACTTCACTGTCCAGCTTTCACATGCATTAAAAATAGTGTGATTCAAAATATCATGGGTTGGATCAGGTGCACATCTTTCCTATTTAACATTTGAAAGATCTTTTGCATCAGATTTCTACAATGTACTATGTTGTTTGATTTCTTGACTGCTGCTTCCATGGGCATTGATTGTGCTCTTAGGTACTGTCGAGTCAGCTCTGACTCATAGCGACATCTGCATATGATTCATATGCATAATAGAACGAAACACGGCCCAGTGCTGTGCCAGCCTCACAATTGTTGCTATGTTTGAGCCCATTTTTGCTGCCATTGTGTCAGTTCATCTCCTCGGGGGTCTTCCTTTATTGACTAACTTTCCATTTTAGTAAGTATGATGTTCTTCCTCAGGGACTGGTCCTTCCTGACAATATGTCCAAAGTATGAGAGACAAAATCTTGCTATCCTGGCTTCTAAGGAGCATTCTGTCTGCAATTCTTCCAAGACAAATTAGTTTGTTCTCTGGCAGTCAATTAATACTCTTCTCCAACACCATAACTCAAATGCATCGATTCTCCTACGGTCTTCCTTATTCATTGTCCAACTTTCATATGCATATGAAGTGACTGAAAATGCCATGGCTTGTATCAAGTGCACCCTTAGTCCTCAAACTGAATCTTTGCTCATGAACACTTAAACAGGTCTTTCACAGCAGATTTGCCTAATGCAATACATCGTTTGACTTCTTGACTGCTGCTGCCATCAGAATTCATTGTGGCTGCAAGTAAAATGAAATCTTTGACAACTTCAATTTTTTTCTCCATTTATCATGATATTATTTAATGGCCCAGCTGTGAGGATGTTTTGTTTTCTTTACACTGAGGTGCAATCTACTGTTCTTCATCAGTAAGTAGCTTAAGTCCTCTTCACTTCCAGCAAGCAAGATTATATCATCTGCATATCACACGTTCTTCTTCATATAATCCAGCTTCTCAGATGATTTGCTTAGTACACAGACTGGTAAGTATAGTGAAAGGATACAACCCTGGCACACATCTTTTTTTTTTTTTAAATCAGTGTCTCCTTGTTTTGTTTGAACAACAGCCTCTTTGTCTGTGTACAGTTTCCTCATGAGCACAATTTAGTGTTCTGGAATACTCATTCTTCTCAAATGTTAGCCACACAATTGAACATTTTTGCATAATCAATAAAACACAACTAAACATCTCCCTGGTATTCTCTTTCAGCCAAGATCCTTCTGACATCAGTGATATCCCTACTGCCATGTTCTCTTCTGAATCTGTTTTGAATTTCTAGCCGTTCTCTGCTGATGTACTGTTGCAGCTTTTTATTATTATTATTATCATCAGCAAAATTGTACTTGCATGTGGTATTATTGCTATTGTTCAATAATTTCCTCATTCCATTGGGTCACCTCTCTTGGAATGGGTACATCTTCCGAATTCTTAGCATAGATAAGCGAGCACCTCCATTGCCACATCAGCTTGTTGAAAGATTTCAATTTGTGTTATATCAGTGCCTGGAACCTTGTCTCCAGTGCAACTTGGACTTTTTCCTTCAGTACCATCAGTTCTTGACCATAGGCTACCACTTGAAATGATTGAATATTGACCATTTCTTTTTGACATAGTTGTTAACTGCTGTTGAGTCGGTTTCAACTCATAGAGACCCTGTATAGTGTTATTGAGGTTTTAAATTTCCACGGGAGCAGAAAGCCTCATCTTTCTCCCATGGAGCAGTGGTGGGCTCAAACCAAGGACCTTTTGATTCATTGTCCGGTGCTTATCATATGGAGAATCCTTCAGTACAGCAAGTCAAGACTTGAACTTTTTCTTAAACTGGTTCATCTTGAGCAATGTTGAGCATGTACTTCCCTTTTGGCTTTCTAACTCCTGGTCTTTGAATATTGACTGTGGATCCAAGTAAAATTAAATCCTTGGCAACTTCAGTCTTTTCTTCCTTTATCATGATGTTGCTCATCGGTGCAATTGTGAGGATTTTTATCTTATGTTGAGGTGCAATTCCTACCGAAGACTTTAGTCTTTATCTTCATCACTAAGTGCTTCAAGTTCTCTTCACTTTCAGCAAACAAAGTTGTGTCATTTGCATATGGAAGGTTTGTAATGAGTCTTCCTCCAGTCTTGGTGCCACATTCTTCATATAGTCCAGCTTCTCAGATTATTTGTTTGGCATGTGATCTGATTAAATAAATATGGTGGAAGGATACAACCCTGATGCACACCTTACCTAATTTTAAACCATGCAGTTCTGTTCAAAGCCCGGTTCTATTCAAATGACTGCCTCTTGGTTTATGTAACAGTTCTGGAATTAAGTGAGTTTGAACCACAAAGTCGTTAGTTCAAACTTACCAGCCACTCCTTGGAAACCCTATACAAGTTTACTATGAGTCGGAACCAACTTGGCGGCACTTAACAATAACAGCAAGTGTTCTGGAATTCCCGTTCTTTGCAATGCCATCCATAATTTGTTATGATCCACACAGTCAATGTGTTTGCATACTCAGTAAACCATAGGTAAATGTCTTTCTGGTATTTTTTGCTGTCAACCAAGATCCATCTGACATCAGCAATGATATCCCTCGCTCCATGTCCT